GACTGCTTTATCAACGAAGCTTGTGTAATATTCTAAGTCTTTTGTTATATTATCTCAACACTCTTCCCAGCATCTTCACCAGGAGTGGATTCTATCGCTGGAAACCACTTTCTCTGCTCATCCATAAGAAGCAACTCTTCCAGGATTAATGAAGTGTAGTTACCTTCATTAGTTATCCTAGCTGGATAACTTGCTGCAGCATCTATATCTGCACTTGCTGCTTCACCTTGCACTTTTATGTGTCAGAGATGCTTCTTTCCTTAAACCTCATGAACCAACCTCTGCTCTCTCAGCCGTCGTAGAAGAGTTAGGGCCTGGCTCTGGATTAGGCTTCGGTTTAAGGAAATGTTGTGGCTGGTTTGATCTTCTATCTAGAACACCAAAACTTTCTCCAGATCAGCAATAAGGCTGCTATACTTTCTTATCATGACTGTGTTCACTGGAGTAGCACTTTTAATTTCCTTCAAGTATTTTACTTTTGCATATACAACTTGGCTAACTGTTTGGCATACCAGGCCTACCCTTCAGCCCATTTGTCTTTTGGCATGCCTTTTTTTTTTCTTTTTTTCTAAGCTTATTATTTTTTTAGCTTTTGATTTAAAGAGAAATGTGTGATTATTCCTTCACTTGAACATTTAGAGGCCATCGTAGGATTATTATTGGCCAAATTTCAATATTGTTGTGACTCAGGGTTTAGGGAGGCCTGAGGAGAGGAGAGAGATGGGAGAATGGCCAGTAGGTAGAACACATACAACATTTAAGTTCATTGTCTGATAAGGCCGTGGTTGGTGATACCCTAAAGCAATTGCAACGATAACATCAAAGTCACTGATCACAGATCACCATAAAAATGAAAAAGTCTGAAATATTGCAAAAATTACTAAAAGGTGACACAGAGTGAGCAAATGCTGTTGAAAAAGATGGTGCTGATAGCCGGACGCAAGATTACCACGAACTGTCAATTTGTAAACAATGCAATACTGAGAAGCACAGTAAAACGAGGTATGCCTCTAGTGAGCAGGAGGCACGACCCTGCTCTACTGAAGTTTCATGGCCTGAGTTCACCTGCATAACTTTTGCTTTTTCATGGTCAGCTCTTGTTCATTAGCCAGGACCAAAAATTGGCATTATCTGACAGATAACACTTTTCTGAGTCCAGAAAACCATTTATTTTCATGTGAAATCCATATTTATTGTCATACTTTATGTGAACTCAATGTAAGATCTGAAGGATGTGAATTTAAAATAATATATTCAGATAGAAAGGAAAAGCAAGCCCATGACAAAAAGTAATTTCCTCATAAGGAAAATGGGAATAATAAGATTATCTTCTTCATAGTTATTATTTGTTTAAACATATGTAGATCCTCTTAAAATTAATTAGATGGCATAAGTGGTCAATTTTATTTTACACATAATAATGTCATATACGTTCATTTTGTTCAGTTCTTATGGCACTCATTTGTTGGTGATATTTGATGAGATAGAACTGCACTTTTTCTTTTTAATATGAAACTTTTCATATATACAAAGAGGACAAAGAAAAGAATAAAGCATACCTAATGCATTCACCATTCATTTTAAGAAGTACCGTAAAATATTTCTAGTACTTTTTAAGCCTGGGCTTGGAAAAATTTCATATCAGCATGAAAACAATATGTATTCTCCCTTATGAGTACAATAAATATAGTACTCATCAAGTTTAACAAGTTTAGTCTCCTGGGCAGATATATACATATCTAAATTTTTTATTGTGTTGTTCAACTCTCCTCTATCATTATTTTTTATATGTCTGGTATGTTGATTACAGAGAGGGAGGTGAGTAAAATATCCTATAATGAAGATGGATTTCTCTGTCCTAGTGGTTTTATCATTTTTTTCTTTGTATGTTATTATATGCACTCAAGTTTAGAATTATCATGTACAACATGAAATTATTACTTTTTAAATAGTAGGTTAACCTCTTTAGAGTAAAGCTTTTGCCTTAAATAATGTATGTTTGTTATTGTTCTTGTTAATATTTCCCTGGAATATGTTTTTTTCAACCACTTATTTCAAACATTCTGTGCCTGCATAGTTTGGTTATTGCTCCTCTAAACTTTATTAAACTGATTTTAAAAAATCTAATGTGATGTAGTTGTTTTTCTCTGACTGGCTTTATTTGCTTAGCATAATAATCTTGTCCATTCATATTATCTCAAATGGTAAAAGATCCTTCTTTATTACAGCTGCATAGTATTCCATAGGATACACACCACAGCTTTTTTATCCATTCATCTACTGATGAGCACTTGCCAGAAAAAGACAAATATCATATGATCTCATTTATGTGGACTCTAATGAACAAAATAAACAGATGAGCAAAATAGGTCCAGAGACATGGAAGCAAGGAACAGACTGACAAATTTCAAAAGGAAGGGGCAGGGGGCATGAAAGATTAAATAAAGAACTTACATGTGTATATGCATAGTCCATGGATACAGACAATAGTGTGGTAAAGGCCTGGGGGAGCTGGGAACCAGGGGGAAAATGGGTGACATCTGTAATACTTTCAACAATAAAAATAAATTTAAAAAATATCTAATGTGATGACCGCTGTGTTTCAATGATGCTGTAGTCACTGCAGTTCCTGATGTGCTGGATTGTGTCTGCCACCGCATACCATCACTTCTAGTTGTCCTGATTTGTATATGTTTGCTTGTTTCAATTTCTTGTCTTCTTTAGAATGCTTTTTCCCCCCCCCTCATTCCATGCTTTTCCCTCTTCTAGTTTGGATATTGTATGCTCTATTTCAGATACTTTTGGTAGCTCCATAACTAAATTTTTGTTTGCAGTCACTTGTACAAAAGTTAAAACATGTTCTTGGTCACAGAGATTCAGTACATGTCTATGGCAGCTGTTTGTGTCAGAGCTTTGTTCCTTTTTTGAATTACGGCTCTTGTTTCATTGTTCTCCTTCGAGGATCTCCATACCTTCTTTCTAACTCAAACATGAATTAAAGTGTATTCTTTTAAATATTTTCCAGAATGTGTGGCAATATAATTTTTTAAGATATTTAGTCCTCAGCATGAACTTGTTTGTAAATTTATTTTTTCTTTTTTTTTTCTTTTGTATTTTCTTAAGTGGATTTAATTTGGTGGTTCTCACAATAAATACTAATTCATAGACTCCCTTTATGCTTAAAGTTTATTTCTGTTTCTTTGATTTGAGGTATTTTGTTACTTCTACTCCTTAATAATTATTTTCTTTAATACAAGTTTTAGGATTTTCAGTGCTATTTTGTATGGTTACTTTTCAAATAATAGATACCACAGTTCTTTCTTATTGTGCTATGCTTTTTTTTTAATGCAATGTATTCAATAACTTCAATAAATTGATCAAGTATTCTTGCATTTATCAAATAACATATCACTATATCCTTCTATAAACTGAAATTAACTAGTCTTTAAGTTGAAAAGGTTTCAGATTCTAAAGTACTTTATGTGCTTTAATTATGGGAATTAACTAGGGAAAAAAGTGTCAATGGGCAAAGCAGGAACGATATTTCAGAATTTTAAAAGTAATCAGTAAATTTCTGCTCAAAAGCTATTGATGTCAAAAGGAAAACATAATGAAATCCTAGTACTTCAAGTGCAGTGCTTGGACTAAACTTACTTGGTTCTGTTTCCAGGAAGTGCCAGCTCCCCACAGTTATGTTAGATGTGGTGGGTCAAGCTAACTGCTCGAGTGAACAAGAGCATGTATGTGCTGTGTCCTAGGGCCCTGGTTAGCAAACTGCGGCTCGCGAGCCACATGCGGCTCTTTAGCTCCTTGAGTGTGGCTCTTCCACAAAATACCACGGCCTGGGCAAGACTATTTTGAAGAAATGGCATTAGAAGAAGTTTAAGTTTAAAAAATTTGGCTCTCAAAAGAAATTTCAATCGTTGTACTGTTGATATTTGGCTCTGTTGACTAATGAGTTTGCCGACCACTGTCATAGGGACTACTCACGCCCAGCAAAGGAGCTTTGAGACACAGATGCATTTGATTAGCCACTTCCCAGGGACTTCTTTTTGGTGTGACAGCCAATGACTGTTGGCTAGGCCTGGGATGACTCTCTCTGTTCTCATTTACAAAACGAAGGTATCCTTTCACTGGGGAGTCACTGGATAGCCTCATGTTCTATACAGAACAGCTAATGATTTCTGCTTGTAATGATTTAATATTGCAGGATCTATGTGGAGGGGAGGAAACTTGAATCATATTAACTGTAGATGGGGCATGTAAAAATCTCAATATGTACAAGGTGTGGTTTAGAACATTTAATGTGACTTAGAAGAGCCGCCATGTTAAAATACAATGTGTAAGCTATCATTCTGTATATTTTATCAAATACTTGAAGCAAAATACACAGTTTCTAGGAGGAGGGAGTGAAGGAAGATACATTGTGGAACACAGACTGCCTAGCAACATAGTTTAGAAGGTCTTTCCCCTCAAGTATGGATCATACATACATAATGGATTATGGAATCAATGTACTGTGACACTTTTGAAAGATAGTAATCAGTATTAAATTTAGAGTAAGATAGAAAATACCAGAGAACATCATATAGAGTTATTAGGCTGAGTATTTTGCATAACTTTTGCTTCGGTTATATACACACAGGAGTGGAAGGTGATGAGACCTAGTTGAAATACTTTGAAAGCCACCTGTCTAAAGAGGCAGAGGCATGGAGCGCGTACATGAATTCCACTGTTGGGAGCAAACAGTGATTCTATAGGGTCTACTTACATCTGTGTGGTTCAGTGCAGGTAAAATCGGGACTAATAGAATACATGCTAATTCATTTCTTACCTTTGTAGTTAAGACTTGTGGGGAAGTTGCTCTGTAGGTTTTGCTTTAGCTCAAATAGCTATGATTCTATTCTGTTTTTTTTTTTTTTTTTTTTTTTTTTTTGGGGGGGGGGGGAAATGTGTCTTCCATCAGTTATTTAGTTTGCTACCATTTTCTCTTTTGCCAGGAGATTGCATCAACAATTTGAAAGCTACAAGGAACAAGTGAGAAAAATAGGGGAAGAAGCACGGCGTTACCAGGGCGAACACAAAGACGATGCTCCGACTTGTGGCATCTGTCGCAAAACCAAGTTTGCCGATGGGTGCGGCCACCTCTGCTCCTACTGCCGCACCAAGTTCTGCGCCCGCTGCGGAGGCCGCGTGTCTCTGCGGTCCAACAACGTGAGTACCCCGGGGGCGTGAGGGAAATGTTGAATGTGGAAACCAATCTGCACGCTTCCCAAGCAGAAATAACGCGTGCGTGTTAGAGAGAAAACGTGTGCATCAATGTACACATGAATATGACCCTCCCCATTGCGTTTTTGGGTTTTTCATAAGATTCACAGTAGTGTAGTAGTGATGAAAATAATTCATAAAAAGATAGTTTCTATATGTTGTATCTTTTTTATTTTTTAAATATATTTTATTGATTTTTTTACAGAGAGGAAGAGAGAGGGATAGAGAGTTAGAAACATCCATGAGAGAGAATCATCGATCTGCTGCCTCTTGCATACCCCCTACTGGGGATGTGCCCGCAACCAAGGTACATGCCCTTGACCGGAATCGTCCGTAGGCCGACACTCTATCCACTGAGCCAAACTGGTTTCGGCTATATGTTGTATCTTTTTAAAATATATATATATATATTTTTTTTTTTTATTTCAGAGAGGAAGGGAGAGGGAGAGAGAATCATAGATCAGTTGCCTCCTGCACTCCTCCTACTAGGGATGTAGCCCTTGACCGGAATCCAAGCTGGGACCCTTTAGTCCCCAGGCTGATGCTCAGTCCACCAAACCAAACCAGCTAGGGCTATATGTTGTATATTAATAAATTATTCCCATTCAGAATCAACTGATTTATCTTTAGTAAATGTATTTTCTGAAAAATGCAGTACACATAGGTAGAGTGTCATGAGTTCTACAACTTGAAAGTTACGGCCAGTTCCTGTAAAAAACACAAAACAAAACCCTCCTTTAGTTTCTGCAACATTGATTTCAGAGTGGACGAAGGTAAAATGCAAAGTAAACTGTATGACATTAAATGTAATGTAATTTCATTCATATCATGTTAAAGAAATGTAGTGCTTATTTTATCTCATGGAAATTATTCCAATTTTTAAAGAATATGTTAATGCATTTTTAGTGTGCTTTTTAAAAACGTATTTGTCCTCTATGATATATAGTTTCACTTGATGTAGTTTCCTTAGTTGCCTTACATAACAGCTACTCTTCCATTATGCCAGTACTGTAAATATATTCAAAATTTTGAGGCAATTAAGATGCTATTATAAGGGACTTGATATTTATAATTTGTGAAATACTAGATTAATTATAATAAGTATTTAGTTTAGAACACATTTTAATGTTGTACTTTATTATATTCCATATATTAGTACAGTATAATTATTCATAGGGATGTCTGTATGAGTTTTCTTTGATACAGACCTTCAATGTGATGTAGAAGTTAAGACGATCACAGACAATAGGCCTGGAAAGGGGGGAGGGGGTGTACAAGGGGTCAATAGGAGAAAAAGGAGGACATCTGTAATACTTTCAATAAAAAGATAAAATTTAAAGAAGATTATCATAATTCCCATTGCTAGTTTAAAGAATTTTATGTATTATCTAATCATGTCTAGACTTTAACTTAATGCAAAGTTATATTTAAAAATAACAGGAGTGCTTTAGGCACTCTTTATATCTTCCTAATTTGGAAAATCACTGTTAAAATTACACTGAACATCCCAATCAGCATTGTATTTTTTGGGAGTGTCTTTGAGTAGCAGGTAGGGTATTCTAAAATATTTTCCAGTAGAACTAAGGCATTCAGTAAAATACCGTGTTTCCCCCAAAATAAGACATCCTCCAAAAATAAGACCTACTTACAGGTTTCCTTCTGAGTGAAATATAAGGCATCCCCCGAAATTAAGGCCCCCCTAGGCTAAACCTGAGAGATTTGGTCCACTGATTCTGAAAGAAATGGAGTCACAAGAAATTCATCAGGAAATTCAGGAATTTGATTGTTATGATGATGTTCCAGAAGATGATGACATGATTGTCATTGAATAAATGAGTAAATTCTTGATACTGTAGGATTCACAGTTTGTCTGGTTTGTGTTGACAACTACCGTACTACCTTACCGTATACAGGTAATAAATTTCCTTTATTTTCATTTAACAATAAATGTGTATTCTTTTTCATGGAAAAATAAGACATGCCCTGAAAATAAGACCTAGCGCATCTTTGGGAGCAAAAATTAATATAAAACACTGTCTTATTTTCGGGGAAACAGGGTAGATATTATACTTTAACATGAGTCTACTATTATCTTATGGCCTTGGAAAGATAATTCAATTAAAATAGTTAAAATTAGGTCTTCATGAAATGCATATTTTTATGCTTTATTCTTATAGTCTCATAAGTTTTCTTTTTTACTTCTAAAAGTTGTATGCCACCTTTAAGACTTTCTAGAAAAACCTTGGGTTAAGATATTGTCTGGCACATAAAAAGTGTGCAAGATCTATTAATTTTCCTTTATTTAGTATTCTTAAACATGCTGTATTGGAATGAATTCTCACAAATCAGACCTGAGAATGATATTTTAGGGAGCAAATTGGCTGCATTAATGCTGGCTGAGTGTGTTTAACCTCCCATTGTAAGTTTGAGGCAAACTAATATAAATATAGTTAACCATTGATATATTAAAATATTGGAGTTAAACTCATGTTTTAAAAAGGAAAGGTGTTTAAAGAAAATTAAGCTAAGAGAGAATACTTTGGAGTAGACAATCTCTCCTAATGTAATTCATCCATCTTTACTAAACCCAATCCAATTTTGGGGGGAAAAATTGAAAAGAACAAAATTAAAAAAAAAAAATAACACACACAACTTAAACTATTTAATTTTGAACATAAGACAAAAAATGTAAAACATTATTTTTTGTATGATAATTAACTATTTAAATGTGTATTACAAATAAATATTGCTTATGGAATAATTTATGGTTAAAATAAAATATTTTTTTTACTTATTACAAACATTTCCCATTCTTAGATTTTTTCAATTTGTAACTATAAATGTTTTAATACAAATTTGATAAAATTATTCACACATGTTAATGTATCTTTTAATAATAAGTAAACTATGCTAGTGAATTAAGCTTTCTTTCTGAAGAATGTTTTAAATGTATATTTCATAATCCAATTTCTAAAAATTTTAGAAATTATAGTACCCAAGTTTTACCGTATTTTTCGGACCATAAGACGTACTTTTTTTCCCCCAGAAGTGGGGGGGAAAAGTCCCTGCGTCTTATGGTCCAAATATAGCCTACACATATATTGTACTTTAAAAAAAAAAGTTTTTTTATTTGCCTGGCTTTGTGTGGTCTCTGTGTGCTTGCCCGGCTCTAAAATGGTTCTAGATGCTGCTGTTTACTTTACAGGGTTGATTACATGTGTTTATGACTGTGATGATGGGTTTTAATGTACATAAAATATTTTAGGACACTATTTGTTTCAGAATCTTTTTTTCTTCATTTCCCTTCTCTAAAAACTGGTGCGTCTTATGGTCCGGAGTGTCTTATAGTCGGAAAAATACGGTATATCTAGCTGTTAGCAGGATCCATATACATGCAATTTTCAATGAAAGATTGAACAATGATTATTTGGAGGAAAGAGTAAACATTTAATTTTCATAATGCCTGTATTTTAACACTTAAGAGTGACATATAATTGTTTTTCTTAAAAATCTATTTATTAATATATGCCTTATTTTGTTTTTCTCTTCCTCTCTTTCTTCTTTCTTTACTCTGCTTCCTTGGATGCTTTCCCAAAGGAGGACAAAGTGGTTAGAATTCATGATTTCTTTTCTATCATTTGTTATATAATGTTGTAAACTTTATTAAGTGAATGTTTCACCTAGTATTGTTAATCACTATATTTCACAAAGAAATTATATGCTAGAAAGAGCTCATTCCCAGTTCTCATGGGAAAAATAATCAAATGAATATCTAGGAACATTACAGAGTTTATATTAATAGGTAAAGTTTGGGTAGTTTCCATTCATGCGTACAGTGTTATTTAATATAATTTAAACCATTATGAACTTATATGTCTTCTTAGCTCTCTGAGTTTTGATGATGTCAGGAGCAGTAAAGTCTAAGGGACTTGACCTCTCTTAGCACTCAGTAGATGCAGAGGTAGGTCATTTGACACTTAACTGCAAAGGAATGGAATGAACTGACTAAGTGAAGAGAATGGATGTAATTTAAATCAAGAGCTCCAAAAAGTGATTTTTCTATAGAACACAAGTAGCAGAGTTGTCATATTAAACCACATTTTATACCATTCTCTTCTCCCTCGTGCATAGAAATCACACCCTAGGGGAGTGAAAGGTCACTTTGAACTCTTATCTGCTGTAGAAACCACACAGGCTGTGCTCAGGAAGATAGGGTCCAAGTGGAACCTTCAGCCAGCCTGGCCTTTGAGTGTACACTATACACTTTCATTCAGTATAAAGTACAATTTCTCTGTAGCTCATTGATTTCCCAATATGAGACTGAGACAGTGAGTATTTGGGGTTCAATATATCAACTCAGCTGCCTTTCTTAAACTGTTTTCAAGTTTAAATGATGTACTGCTGTGCATAAATAGCAAGCATGACATTAAATTGAACATTAAGTGTGTTTTAAAATTTGATGCTAGTATATGTTCAGCAGTGTTTTTCTGTAAAAAAGAAGTCAGATTGAAAATTATCTAGTTTGTTTTCACTAAATGTGTTTGTCTTTACCAATAGTGGTACATGATATCATTTTTTGGGGGGGAGGGGGGCTTTTATTTTAATGTAAAATATACTGTATTAGAAAAAATACAATTAGAATGTTATATCTTTGGTGTCATGAATATTATTATTTTGGATGAGTCCACTTCAAAAATAGATAATTTTTAATTCCTTTAACTATTAAAAGTTTAAGTAAATAATAATGCTGGTGTTATGTGCACTTGGTGTTAAGACTTCAGCTATTCTTGCAGGACTGGCCAGACTCATTGTCCTTTTAACAACACTTCCCATAATGGTAGTTATTTGTGCTTATTATGGTTACTAACATTGCAATGAGAGTTTAAGTGGACTTTGTGGTTTTCAGGCTAAAATACCATCACTTTCAGTTATTTTCTTATCTTGATTAGTATGCATATATCAACTATTTATTTTTAAGTAGCTTGTCATATGTCATAATTTTATTAAAAAGCTTTTAGCCTTTTGAGGTTGTTCAATGAATTATCTTTCTCATCCAAGAGCACTGAAGGCAGCTCTGACTTACCTGTGTTAAAGAAAATAACTGTATATTAAATTACTTGATTGGTGATTCTTCCCCTATTTCTCTGAGCTCTTTCAATTCTGGTAGAGAAATTATAATTTACAGGTGTGTGTGCGTACGTGTGTGTGTGTGTGTGTGTGTGTGTGTGTGTGTGTGTGTATACACGTGTGCACGCGCACACAGTCTCCTTCTTGATCAATATAAGATTAATGAATTCTACTTAGTTTTAAATTGCTGAATAATTGTGACTACAATACTGGTGTATATGATCTGACCTAAGCATAGCTAACATAATTCTTCCTTTTATTAACTCCAACAAGAAGTATTATTGATCACAAATTTTGCAGTGTTTTATTTTAAAACCACCCTTAGCCTGAATGAAATCTAACAATATCTCAAAAGATTGTGTACTTGAATATAAATAAAGTGACTCTCGTAAAGAATCACCTTGCATTTGACATAGGTAATAGCTTATAATAGAGGATTATTTTATATAAGTGCACACTCTCATAGGTAAAATTACGGTCATTTACTTCATTGAAAGTCCTCCCAGCTGGTTTAAATTGCTTTTGTCTCTATTACTCTCTATTTGGTGGCAGAATATTGAATTTAGATAACTCTTTTGATAACATTAGCAATTAGCTATTAGTAAACACACTGAATTGAATCCTCCAAATTCAGTCCTTTACTGGTTATGATTATCTTCAGTATTTTTTTTGGGGGGGAGAGGGACAGGGAAAGGGTGATTGATTTGTGAATACAGAAACTAAAAATGAACTTGCTATATTTCTAAATAATCTTTATTTTTACAAAAAAAGTGTCAGGCTTTATAAGGGAAGACTATTTTGTAATAACATCAACAATACTATGAAAAATAGAACCCTACCTAATTTTCTTATTCTTTTAAAATGTGAAAGATGCGTAAACCTACCTTTTAAACAAGTGTAAAAGATACATTTTTAGTATATCAAGGTAGTAACTAATAAGTTAGGATTTTTTTTTAACTGGCTCCTCATGGCTTTTAAGTGCTGTTTGTTTTGAGAAATCATGTTAACTGGTACACTGATGAAGCAAGTATAGTTTTATACAAAAGTTTTGTACAAAAAGTTCATAACAGACAAGGTGAGGTGAAATAAATAGGACAGTGGGGAGTTTGTAACTGGACTTATTATTTTTTTTTTTAAAAATCATTAGGTGTTATTTATGGGATGATCAATTCTTAACAACATAAAGAATTTACCCTTACAGACTTTTCTCTTAAATACCAAATTATGATTTTTTAAAATCTCTTGCTAGGGTTAGATAAAAAGAAGCAAGTTAGTAGAATAATAACCATTTTTTTAAAAATGGTTTGAATGATTGCATTATATATTTATTCTTATTAGGAAAAATCTTCTCAGAGTTACCCATATTTAGTCCATGGCATGATGAAGTATGTGATCATAATTTCCAAACTTCATTATTTTGAGAAAAGCATCTATAAAAGTTTGCTTGGACCCACTTTCATGTTCTCTTTTTATTTTTCTAGGTGATTTGACAATGATTTCTCTGCAAAAAAGTTTTATTGAAGAGTCTTTCCAGAAATATAATATAGGCCTAAATAGGGAAGTTTATATCTATAGATAAAAATATCAATAAGTAAATATTAGGTTGGATCAAGGGGAGAACTTTCTATAAGTAATTTAATTCTCAAGGTGTCTCTTCTCATTTTGTTGTGCTTGTCATAGAGAGCAGCAAAACATCAAACTGTAAAAACTTTTATGCTGGGTAATTCAGAAAGTTGTAAATTTTTATTCCAAATCTGTTCTGGGAATTTGCTATATTGTTTTTCAAGGGCATGGATTTTAATTTCTTACATGTAGCATTACTATTCTGGAAATGTTTGCTAAAATATCCAATCATCATTAGGAAGTTTATGGTTCTTGTTTTGCCCCCAACCTGAAATAATTGTTTAATACACTTTAAAAAATTTGTTTCTGAAAATTGCAATTTCATAAGCCAGTGTTAAAGGTGGATGCACAGTAGCACTAAGGGAGTTGTGGCAGGGGATAGAAACGCAGCCTCTTCTAGTATAAGGGAGCTTCCACAAATCGAAAGGTAAACCATGGCAAAAGCTCCTCGCTTTAGTGAACATCTCTCCTTTATATACCAAGGAGTAAGGTTGCAGGTCATATAATAGCTCTGTGGTTAACATTTTGAGGAACTGATGCAGTGTTTTCCCAATCAGCTGAAGAGCAATGTTTGAGGGTTCCAATTTCTCCACATTCTTGTCAATGCTTGTCTGCCCTTCCCCTGTCCCCATAATGATCCTGTTTAATGTGAAATAAAATATCTCATTGTGCTTTTCATAAAGCTGATTTTAAGCCAAAGTTTGGTATTTACAAGGATCCCCTGTGATGGTGTGGACTTAGGTTCTTAAATAAAAATGTTTCTAAGTCAGCAATTTCTTGAGAATAGATTTTTCTTAAAGGACAAGCACCTTCAAAGTATTAGAAGTTTAGCTTCTTTCTTCCCTCTGGATTCTTTATTTTCTTTACTCAAAAATACTATTTTACATTAGAATTATGTAAGTAGTTATTAGTCTATATAAATCATTCAGAACAAGAGCTCTGTTAAATTTAAGATACTTTGGAATCGAATATCTGGCTAGACTAGCTATCCTTAGGGTACACACAAATTAAGAGATTTTTATTTTTATTTTTATTGCCAGCTGAAGAGACTATACATGCAGAGAGAAGTTGCAGGTTCATTTTGCCATTCAGGTGTAGGTCTGAAATTAACACAGAAACTCTAGCCCAGATCTTAAAGGTATGTTCTTCTTTCAGTGTGCATGAGACATTTTCTTGAGGGATGTGAGCTTTTATTCGCAAGCAAACAAATAGGCAGGCATAAAGACTAACAACCAGATTATCTGATTTCTGCAGTCTAACTTTCAATATATCCTTGATGCCTGCCATCCAATAGATTTCATTATATATAGATTCCCTATTGTTGCTGCCACTAGTGGGGAATGGATTATTAGTCATGAGCAAACTCTGTTTTCTCTTATAGTAGAATAGCCACTCCAATTCTCTTATGGTTGCTGTTTACATGGTATAACCTTTTCTATCCTTTTAATTTCATTCTATTTTTATCTTTGACTATAAAGTATATTCTATATAAATATACATATTTAGATATTAAAAAGTCAATCATGATAATATTTGCCTATTCAATTTTAATCCACTCCTATTTATTACTATTGATATGATTGTATTTATGCCTCCTATTTTATTTTATTTTATTTTATTTATTTTTTTTACCTGAGTTCCTATTTTACTGCTTTCTTTTTTCACTAAATATTTTCTAGTTACATTTTAATTATTTCAGAGATTTTTTATAGTATTTTTGAGTACTTTTTCTTAGTGGCTCTAGGGTTTCCAGTACACATCTTAATTTATCAGAATCTACTTTATATTTCCACTACCTTAATTCCAGTGAAATATGTAAATGTTAACTCTATAGAGCTGTATTTACTTTTTTCCCTTTT